CTTCTCAATTGGTGAGTTCTTTTCATTATTTTTTTTATTTCAGTTTGTCTAGCTTCAGCTTTTTGTTCTTCAACTATAATTGCCACTTGTGCATTTGTTTTCAAAAATGCCCCCCCGCCCCTTTTTTCTTTTTTTTCCTTCTTTTGGCCAGCCTTGCTGTTGAGCAAATCCCAGCTGGTAAAATCTGTCGGATGTTCCAGCTGGACTGTAGGTAGCGGTTGGGGAGCAGAGAATCGGGCAGTGGGTGCTGACCTTGCATGGGCTGTAGCTCCACGTGGAGCCTCTTGCCATTTTCAGGCTAAAATACGCGGTTTAGGAAGCAAATCTGTGCCTTTTATTTTATTTTCAGGCCACACTGCATCGGTGCTTGTCCGGTGAAGCCTGGGTGAAATCCCACACTAAGGTGAAGCCATTGGATTCTGTAGGTTTATGCTGGGTCTCTCAAACACTTGCATAACGTGGCCTGAAATGGGAGTTTTTTAAGGACAACGTGCTACTCCCTGCTGCAGGGAGGAGCAGACCCAAGGGAGCTCGAGAACTGCTTCCAGGCCACCAAAGTGTTCTTCTGACTTTCTGCAGTCCAGGTACGCTCCGCGGATGTTCTCTGCTCAGCGTGGGCTGAGCTTGGCCTCGGGGTGGAAGAGGAGGGACCTTGCTGAGGAGTGACCAAGCCATGCCCTGGTGGCTTTGGGTTTTTTTGCCTCCTCTCATTCCCTCTGGTTTTTCTCACCGTCCAAGTTCAAGCTCCATCATCTCTCCTGTGCTCTGGAGAAGCCAGAGGCTGATGTGGGGCAAGGAGGGCTCGGCGAGCTGGTGGCAATGGAAGGACTTGGGCAGAAGGGTAAAAATCGTTGGGGTGCTTCTCTCCCACTCTGCTGGGAGAGCTGCTTGAAGGTGGGGGGGGGGGGCTTGGGGTTTCACGGGCTGCCCTGGGGAGGCTGAAGGTCCAAGGAGCTGACCTCGTGGGGCTGCTGAGCCAGGTTCTCTCTCACTTCTGGGGAGGACGAGGTATTGCCAGGAGCTGGTAAGCGCTGGGAGCGACTGCCTGGAGGAGGAGGCAGCTCGCGTGTCCGCGTGGGTCTGGGGGAGGCGAAGAGGACCTGCAGCTGCCATGCCGAGCTGGCCGTGTGCCGTGCTCCCCAGCTACTGCTGGGACAACTCAGATGACATTTAGCCAACTGCTGAACCAATACCTTCCATCTGCCCCCCATCCAAGAAGCATCAGGCATGCTGTTTTGTTTTTTTTTAAAAAAGAAAAATCCTGTGGATCCCTGTGGCTGCAGCACACGGGGAAGGGAGGGGAGCGCGGTGGGATGGCACTGCCTTCTTCCCTCATCTCCGCCCGTCTGTCTGTCTGTCTGTCTCACCCTTTCCCCGCTATGGGCAGGGCAGAGGCGAGGCAAGGCCAGGCACGACACGACGCCCTTCCTCGCTGTGCCGCCGCTGCCCTGCCCTGCTTGCTCACCGTGACTCCCGGTGTCCCGCTCCTCTGCTCCGGGTGACCCTGGAGTTTGGCCATCGCTGAGCAAGGGCCACCCCAGCTGCCCGCCCGCACCTCGAGACCCACCAAAACCAGCCCTGAAACCAGAGGGTCACACCTGCTGAAGGAAGCACGTGTGTTTCTGAGCATGGAGGACACACACACACACATATATATATATGTATTTACATGCAGTGTTTGGTTTGGGTTTGTTTTTTTTTTTTTTTTTAAAAAAAAGAATCAAGTGATAATATCACAGCGCTTTAAATCCTGAGTTCTAAACCAGATTCTCTGTCTGGGAACAGTGCTGTATCAGGGAACCACCTCCGTGCCAGCACGGGGAAGGCGGCTAGGCGTGCTGGCCCCAAGCCTGCTTTGAGAAGCCCAGGGCACCCACCTGGCAGAGGAGAGACCGAAGTCCAGGTTTTATCGCTGCGCCGCGCGTTTGGCAATATCGGCATGGCAGGATCCCTGATTTTCCACGCTGAGAAAGTCCCAGGAGGCAGGTTAGAGTTTTACTGCTGGACTGGAGGAGAAACTCCCCAGGCTCGAAGCGGCTGGCAGTAGGTGGGTGCATGGTGGCAAAGACAGTGGGCAAACAAACAGAAAATATCTTGAGATAAGCCACGATCTCAACAAACCCCGAAGGAGAAGCGAGGCTGCCCGCAGAAGCAGCCCAGGAGCGGAGTTGCAGGAGGATGTTGCAGCTCAGAAGGTCCCTGGCAGAGGGAGGCTTGGGGCTGCCAGGGATGAGCTGGGCTGCAGGGACATGTACAACGTCCTGGTGCCCTTTGTCTGTCGTGAGCCACCAAAATGAGTTTTCTCCCTTGGATACATCAATAAAACTTGCTGCGGGGCTTTCACACCTCCATCACTTGCCACTGGCAAACAGCAGCAAAATTCAGATTATTATGTGGATTCAGACTGTCTTTGGAGCGGTTAATTCTGCCATGGTCGTGTCCTCAAGGACTGATAAACTTGCCTTCTTCTGCGGTGGTCTCCCTGCAGTAGCAGCTTTCTTAGCTCTGATATGAAGAATGAGCGTTGGATATTTTCAGGACTCTTCTTCTGTTGCACATTAAAAGGCCTGGGTTCTCTGGCAAAGAAAAACTGTTTCGTTGCAGTATCTGATGAGCACCACTGCTCTTCGTGCCTGCCATCATTTACAATTCTGATCGCTCAAAAAGGTAACATTTCTGTTAACCTCATTTATAGGAGACCTTTTCTAAATGGTGCTGTCGCAGCAATGGGTTGCAATAGGCAACCTTTGCTCTGTGGAGGGTGGTGGGCATCTGTTTGTTCCACATCTGGTGTGTACAGAAAATCAGGGCGCCAGAAAATATATTTTTGGTAGTCTCGTGACACACATTCATGTGGTTTTCAGGGGTGATCTTGAAGGACGGTGGAGGATGACTAGGTAAGAGTAACCTCAGTAAATATGCAGAAATGACTGGGGAGAGCGAGCTGTGTCAGTGCCTTGTTTGCAGAAGTGAAGTAAGAGGTGGGGTGATAACGGTGAGATAGAAGAGATAACATGGAGGAGACAGATAAGGGAAAAGCTTCCTGATGGTGAGAGCTGCTCTTCCAAGAGAGAAATCAGCCAAGGACTTGGGCTGGGCAGGGCCCAAGGGAGCTGCTGTACTGACAACGCTGCTGGAGGAGATGAGTTTTCCCGAGCAGAGTGGGTAGGAAGGACGCAGCAGAGATGTTTGGGGCGAGTGTTGTTCTTTAGAGCAGAAGTGCGTTTCATTAGAGGAATAAGTAGACCCTAACAACTGCCAAACTGGTGGGAACAGCATAAGCGATTTTGTCTCAATTCTTTAAACAAACAAACAAACAGATAAAACAACCTTGTGTGCCAAAACCCAACATACCACCAGCGCATTTGTGAAGGTGGGTTCCTTGTTGTGAACTACATGAAGATCCAGTGCGTGAAAAAAGGAAACAGTCCTGTTTATAAAAGAGAGTTATCTCACTCAGCGAAGGCAGGAGGTAAGATTGGCAAAGGGAGGTGCAAAGATGTGGTGAATTTGGGCTGGTTGCTCCCATGAGATCACCCGGAGCTGTGGAGGAAAGCCCTCTGAGTCAGCTCCAGGTGCACGAGTGTCTGGAGGCTGCTGGGCAGTGTAAGAGCCTCAAATGAGGACCTAAATGTTAATCACCCTGCGATGAGTAGCTCTTAATCAAGCAGTGTGTCAGCAGCGTTGGGTTGAGCTTTGGTCCCTAACGCAGAAGGTGACCTGAAAGGCAACTTGTGCCTTAGACTGGGGGCAAATTTGTTAGGGCTCTTCATTCCATCTAAAGATGCTCGTGGACCACTCGCGGTCACTTGTGACGGTATGTGTCCCACCACAGCAAGTAGGGGGGATGCTGTGATGCAGCACAAGGGCCCATCCTTCCTTGTGATCCTCTGGCGGGCTGCTTTTGCAGGTCGGGTGGGTGAGCCGGCGTTTCACCTATCCTGATGTTTGCAGGACTAGGAGGATTCTTGTCTTCAGATTTCTCTCTTCCCCTGTAGAAGTGGTCAGGTCCTCCTCCAAGTCAAAGGTGAGGAGCAAGGTGGAATTGGCCTTCGTGTCTTTGTGTGGCTCATTGGCTACTCCTGAGACCAAAATGCTAAGGGACCTGGAGCTGTGGAGCCCAGCTCCATCCCGGCTCCATCAGTGACCTCAGGCAAGACTTTTCCCCTCTCTCTCTCTATTCCTCGTCTTCTTTCTAGCATACGAATGGTTGTACTAGGTGAGGCCAAGGACCCATCTAACCTCATTGTCTCTCTCGGGAGCAAAGGCAGACAAATGTGTGTAATGATTCCCAGCCTCCACCCTATTTCTAGGTCTGGAGATTTCCTGAACCCGACGCTTGCCCGGTAAATCCCAACAGACCTGCTTTCTGAGTACGTGTCCTCGGGGTCTTTTTGGCCCCCCCCCAGCAGCCCTTGGCTCTGAGTCCCGCGAGTCACCTCTTCTGGCTGGTTTTGAGCCCTGCTTTTGCGGGTTGGTAGACTGGGCCTGGCTGGTGAGCAGGCAGTCTCCATCCCTTTCCCCCCCCCTCCCCTCCCCAGGCTTCCCGTGAGCTCATCATGTTTCATGTAGCTCCCTGCAAGCCTCCTGCGTGCCCGGGCAGCCCGGCTCTCCCCAGCCAGCACCGGTGCCCTGCCCGTGGAGGCAGCGACAGCGGGTGGGACGGAGCTGGGCGAGTGGGATGGGCAGCAGGGGCGGCTGCAGGGGCTCCAGCTGCATTTAATTTTTTTTTTCCGCTCCCACCCCGGGGAGGGTGCAGGCAGGAGGTCCTCGGGGTGGTGCGTCCCGTTGCCGATGGCGTGTGCGGGCCCCCGTCTGCGCTCCCCTGGGCTGGGCGCTCCTCGCTGGGGGTGAGTCAGCCCACGGCACACGCGCTCTTCCTGTTGGGAGTGACTCAGGTGGAGAGCAGCCGATAAAAACCACCTGAGAAAAAAAAAAAAAAAAAACAAAAAAAAAAGAAAACACACCACAAAAAAACCACAAAGCAAGAGGCAGCCGGTCGGGAGCCGGAACGGGCGCCTTGTGCTCCCCGGCGCAAGAAATGGCTGGGTGCTGGCTCCTGCCCCTCTGCTGCCTCGTGGCAGCCCTCCTGCCCGCAGCCCCGAGCGCCAACGGAGGAGAAGGTGAGGCTTCGGGAAGGTTGGCTGTTCCTGCTTTTGCCCTGATGTGCCATCCCGCCGGCGGCTTTGCTCGCGGCCCTGCCCCAGTGCCGGATAGTGCCGGTAACCGGGAGCAGGCTGGGTGCCGCTTGGCACGCTCCCCTCCCACCCGTGGGATTAAAATTGGATCTGTAGGTGCTTCGCCTTATATTTCCTCTGGGGTTAAGTACTCCGTGATCATTTCGACTTTGTTTTTTTTTTTACTGGCATTGCCTTTAAATAACTTATTTATGTGCAGTTACTTTGCTGCTTCCTGTCTAAAGCCCCGCTGCTCGGGTGGGACCGGGGCGGGAGCATCGCCCAGGGAGCGGGTGGCTGATCTGCCCCGCCGCCGCTGCTGTAACCCAAACCTTCCCTGCGCCCGAGGAAGAGCTGCAGGCAGCCAGGATCTGGTTTGCTGCAGCAACACGTGCAGGCGTCTTGTATTTTGTGCGAGTCCGTGGGGCTTGCGAGGTGCCCACGGCCCCGCCGCACGCTGTGGGAGGCAGTGAGTCTCCTGCGGCGCGTAGACTGATGGCGAGCTCTAAAAATCCAGAGGATCCTCTTGCATGTGCAATTAATTCTAGCCGTGAGTGCAATGCAGGGATGTTTAAGCGCATTCGGCCCAGTGGTAATTCAATATCGGGGTTTCAGGCGTATTGATGAACAGTGTGGAGATGGGAGTGTTCGGCCAAAATCAGGTTTTCACGTGTGTTTTGTAAATACTGAGCGGTTTCAATTTTTTTTTGTTGTTGTCTGCAGTACTGGTGCTCTGAAATACTCTCACTGAGCTTGAAGTTGGTCTTTCCTCAGTATTTCTTTAAGTGCAGTGCAACGTGATAGGGGGAAAAAGTGCTGAATAAGTGGGTGGGTTTTTTTGGAAAAAGATCTGATTTGCTTTACATGTTACTTGGGTGATTATTACAGCAGCCCTAGTTGCATGCAAGTTTAAAAATACTGATGTAGATTCTTTCCCCACCCCCCTGACCTTCCTGGCAGCATGTAGGCAACTGCTGCTTTTCCACGGGCTCCTGAACTTATTTCTGCACGTACGTAAAAGCGACGGTCGATAGCCAGCCGAGCTTTTACGCTGCAGCAAACTCTGAGTTGGGTCTGTGGTGTAAATTAGCCTCCTGTGCTGTGACTCCTCAGCTCCCGGTGCTAGATGTGTGCTTGTAATTAGCACGCGTAATCCTGTTTTGCATGCAGATGAACTGCTTGAGTCCAGTTGGGTCCGGGTGTGAGCTGGCCGAGCTGCAAAGGTCGGGGTGTTTGTCCTCTGGGCTGTGCAGGGCTTTGCCCCAGCCAGCTCGGGTTTGCCGGCGCTTGATGGCTCTAGGGATCTCCCAGGGTTCGGGGAAGAGCTGGGGTGTGGAGGTCCGAGCTCCACCGTGCCAGTGAGGTGTCTGACTCGGCGTGGTGGAAAGGAGAAGACACCAAATGGCAGCTTTTTTGGGATCTGGTGTGTGGTCTCTCCCCGCTGATGCTGCCGGAGCCCCGGGCAGGTCTTCCTGCAGTGAGAGAGCTGTGGGGCTGGGCGATGGGGAAAGCCAGGGCTTGGGGGAGCGGACGGGACAGCCTCCTGGGTCACTGTCCCGAAAGCACGGAGCAGGGAATGGTTTGTGTTGTCGGGGAGGATTCGTTGCCTGCAAAGCTCTGAAAGGATTAGCCTTTGCATTCAGCCTCGTATGCACAGGGCTATTGGATCTGCTCCTCGCAGACCCACGGCCGACCTCATTTTCTGGTTTTGTGAATTTAAGAAGACAATTTAGGAGGTCTGAAGCTGCCTGTCTCCTCCTCCAAGCCTTTCTGGTGCGGGAATTTGTCTCAGCACAGCAAAAAAAAAAAAAAAAAATGCATTTTTCACGCTTTAGTCTCTTGGGCGGGAGCTGGGGGAATGATGTTCTGCTGGATGTGTGCCACAGACCTCCTCCATCCCGACGTAGCGCTGAAGAAATCCAGCTGCAAAGCTTCTCCAGTGGAGCCTGTTGTTCTCCACAGCTATCTGAGAACTGGATGATCTCAGGCCAGAGCCTCAGGGCACCTGGATGGAAAAAACGATCCTGTCCTCAGTTGGTCCTCATCCTCCAGCAGCTCCTGCGTGCTCCATCTCGTTAGCAACTCCGGTGCCTCACTCTTGGTAAAGATTAAACCTGCCTGAGCTCTCAGGGTTCCAGAAGACCAGCAAGAGGAACAGCTACGCTGGTGAGGCGGAGGCACTAATCTGCAACAGCATCTTCAATGGCTTCAGATTAGCGAGACCTGAGTCTGTGCCAGGGCTGCAGAGCTGGCTTTTAACACACTGCAAACCTTAGAGCAAGACCCAAAAAAAAAAGGTTTTTGTTCCCCGGGGCAACGGTGCTCATGCCTGTAATTTAGCAACCCAGTAAATCCTCCCAATGACGTAGATGTTGGATGATGCATGGGTGGAGTTTATGATCCTTACGGGCCTCTTCCAACTTGAGATATTCCAGCCTTAGCGCGGAGGGATGGGGGGTGGGATCGACCCCCCCCCCGCAGTCCCGCTGTGAAGGGGAGCGCAAATACCCGGAGACCGATCCCGCACTGCCGCTCTCGGTGGGCTGTTTGAATTGTTTCTGCCCTTTGGTCACCGGTGATGCCCACCGAGACCCCCCTGATGCTTCCTCACACCCTAAGAGCCGGCAGCACCCCTGCACCGGCGGGGTCCCCTCCCAGCAGGCTGGGGGTGGCAGAAGACCCTCCTGCAGCTGGCTCGGGATCTCCCGGCAGCCGGGCTGCCAGGGAAGAACCGCGTTTGCCGGAGCTGGAAAAAAAAAAAATCTCCCTGTTTGCTGGCGCGTGAGGTCACCTCTCTCCTTGGCAGCAGCCTTGGCTGCCGCTTGCCGAGTGCCTCGGGCTGGTGTGCGGGTGGGAGGGCGGCGGCGGTGCCCGGGCGTTGTTGGGTGCTGGGCATTGGGTGCTGGGGCGGGGAGAGCAGGAGGCTTCGCCCAGGTCCGGGCGACCGCAGGCGTGGAGGACAGTGGCCTTGTCTCCTCGGGTTAATCTGTGCCAGGAGAGCGCCGGGAAGGAGGAGCCTCCGCACGTATCTCTGCGTCCAGGTTTCTGCTCGCTTTTGGGTTTCCTCCCCTTCCCCCTGCCGTCAGGGGTGGCCTGAGCTTGGGGGGGGTGGGCGGCGGGGGACCGCCTTTCATGTCCCAAGGACGTCAGCAGCCAGCGGAATTTCTCAGAGGGAGGTTGAGGATCCCATGGCAGCATCGGGGTTCGGGTGGAGCAGCTTGTCAGCCGGCTCTGCACCCCTGCAGACCCTGTTTTTCCCCTCGGGGTGTTTCTTTCTCCTGCCTGTCTTTGCCAACCGTTCTCTCAACCACATCTGCTCTCCCTGGCAGTGCTGAGAAACTTATCTGAAATAAAGGTCCTCGGGTTTAAACACTCTAGTACTGGCCGCTGAGAGCTTAGCAAGTAGATGAGAGGTGGCTTCAGGAGAAGATCTGGGCAAGGCAATGAAGAGGAGTGCTGGAGCAGGCACCTCTGGTGAGATATCTGCTGCTCTGCTCTCCAGAGGTCCCGTCTGTCCTGGCTGTAGTGGGATACAAAATCCCATGCCTGTCCCTCCCAGCATCCCCCCTTGCAGCGATGTGGGCAGCTGCAGCTTTTCTTCCTGAGGAGGGTGGGGTGAGATGACCTGTGTAATCCTGCCAAAACCTTTTTTTTTTTTTTTTTTTTTCCATCTAATCTAACTCTTGGCTGGCACAATTCCACCAAGCTCCTCTGATCACAAACCACTCCTCATTACCCCTTTGCCTGGCTGCAGACCTGAATGGAGGGACCTGGTGAAAGTTGGCTGAGCTTTTCCTTGCCGGGCTCACTCCTGGTCAGAGGCCAGGTGAAACAAAAGGGATCCTTCCCTCTTCCCTGAGGTCACCAATAAGATTCCCCATGCTTTTCTCAGGACAGGGTCTGGGTTTTTCTTACCGTCTCTGCTTACTCAAAGACCTCGTTGCATCAGAAGGTCTCTGAAAGGATGGAGAACGTCGCTGGCCATGCCACGCTGTGTAGCGGTGGCTGCTTGGCGTGGGGAGTTTGTCCATCCTGAGCTCTGTGGGCAGTGAAATTGGGCATCGCTCCAAAGCACGGGGGCCGTGGAGCACGGTGTGGGCACCGGTGGCGGCTGATGGGTGCAGAGACGTGGGAACGGGGCTCGGGTATTGGCAGAGCAAGAAGGGGAGCTTTGCATCGCCTGGGCTCGTTCCTTGGCCATGAGGGTGGGTTCACAGCCCCACTGCTGGTTCTCTCTTCTCTAAGCATCCCTTGAGACGTGTCTCTCCTCTCCCCTCCCCAGTCTGCGACTGCAACGGGATGTCCAGGCGGTGCGTCTTCGACTGGGACCTCCTGAGGGAGACGGGGAGCGGGTACCGCTGCCTCGGCTGCCTGGGCAACACGGAGGGTGCCCACTGCGAGCGCTGCAAGGAGGGCTTCTTCCGTCAGCGGGAGGACGACTGCTGCCTGCCCTGCCGCTGCCACCCCCGGGGTACGTGCTCACCAGCCGGGAGGGGAACGGGCTTGGGTCAGGGCCGTAGCGGGGTTTAAAGCGCTTGCCACACCGTATCCAAACATACCCTCGGGCTCCGGGTCCCTACACGCCGGAGCAGAGCATCGCGGGAGGAGCGAACGGGGCCGGCTTGGCTCCAGGTGGGGTTATCTGGGGAGGTGGCAGACCCCAGGGCTGTGGTGGTGTGCCACAGTCATAGGAGCTCCTCCTCCTCCTCCTCCTCCTCCCGGCTGCTTCGCTGGTTACTGCCGCGAGTTTCAAACCCTGCGGCAGCTCCCGGCTGCATCCAGGCTTCAACACCCACTCGCCCCCCAAAATAATCAGACTCACAGAATGGTTTAGGCTGGAAGGGACCTTCAAAGATCATCCAGTGCCACCCCCTGCCCTGGGCAGGGCCCCCTTCCCCCAGCCCAGGGGGCTCCCAGCCCCGTCCAACCTGGCCTTGAACCCTTCCAGGGAGGGGGCAGACACAGCTGCTCTGGGCACCCTGGGCCAATGACCCACCACCTTCATCATAAAACATTTCTTTTTTATGTCCAATCTAAACCTCCTCTCTTTCAGTTAAAAACTTTTGCCCCTTGTTCTGTCACTACAGGCCCTGGTAAAAGGTCTCTCTGTACCACCTCCACTCCCGAGGCACAACGCTGTGAACTCAGGAATTACCCTTTCACTTTTACAATATGATTAAAAACCTTTGCAAAGCTTGCCTTTACATATCGATCCCCCTGTTATGCACTGAAAGGCCACAGTAGGGCCTCTCCAGAGCCTTCTCTTCTCTGGGCTGAGCCACCCCAACTCCCTCAGCCTTTCTCCATAGCAGAGCTGTTCCAGCCCTCGGACCATTTCCATGGCCTCCCCTGGACCTGCTCGAACAGGCCCACGTCTTGTGCTGGAAGCCCCAGGGCTGAACACAGTGCTCCAGGGCAGGGTTTGCAGACCAGAGGGGCAGCATCCCCCCCCCTTGACCTGCTGGTGATGCACCCAGGACACAGCTGTCTTTCTGGGTTGCGAGTGCACATTGCCAGCTCATGGCCAACTTTACATCCACCAGTACACCCAAGTCCTTCTCTACAGGGCTGCATTCCACTCATCCACCCATCCATCCATCCACCCACCCATCCATCCATCCATCCATCCATCCATCCATCCATCCATCCATCCATCCATCCATCCATCCATCCATCCATCCATCCACCCATCCATCCATCCATCCACCCACCCACCCACCCATCCATCCATCCGTCCATCCGTCCATCCATCCATCCCCCAGCCTGTACTGATACTGGGGATGCCTTGACCTTACACTTGACCTTATTGAACTTCATGAGGTTCCCATGGGCCAGATCCTCCAGGCTCTCAAGGTCCCCTTGGATGGCAACCCTTCCCCCCAACATCTCCATCACCACACCCTGCCTCACCGAGGGGGACCCTGCTCCGCTCCACCCTGAATTTGGCGGGTGGCCACGAACCTGCTGAAGCCCGCCGGGAGCTGCTTGCCCTTCCCAGCTGCCATCCTTATCTCGAGGATGGCAGCCAAACCTCAACGCGGGCTTTCACTGGCTTTGTGAGTCAGGCTGATGCTTCCTGGGTTTCGCAATGTTTGGCGGGCTCCTCGAAGGCATTTAACTGCGTTGTAAAAATGAAAGGGTAATTCCTGAGTTGGGGGTGTTGCTTCTCAGGAGGGGAGGCCGTGCAAAGAGCTGCAGTGCTTGGGGATGGGCAGGAGGCTTCGGCCTCTCCAGCTCCTCCAGCAGCTTTTTGCAGGCTTCAGGGCTACAAGATGGGATTTCTAGCTCTGCGGTGTTTTCTGTGGGTCTTGTGGCTGGTTACACAGTAGATGTGATAGCTCCTTCATCCTCGTCAGGTTTCAGCCTGCTCTGCAAGCAGGCAGCTCGTCCATCTCGCACTGAGGTGCTGTAGGTAGATACTGAAACGCCTGTTGGTCTCTGTCCGTGCAGGAGGATCACAAGAAGCACCACCTGAACATAAAAAACAGGGGGCAAGAGGACAGAGCAGTAGGCCTTAAGGTGGTGGGAGGGTGAATATCCCCTCAGATGTGTACCCCTGGCTCTGGCAGCCTCTCCCCTCGCTGCCCACGTGTGCACGGCGGTAGGTCAGAACCAACAATCCTGCCGTGGCCCTCGGTCCCATAGGATCCTTGTACAGGCACCAAAATCAAGTTCTACTGATGTCTACTAGCAGAGGGTCTGGCAAAGAAGAAAAAAATTCTCTGCTTGGTTTGCGTGCCCTGGAGCCTGTCTGTCCTTCGTGATGACGTTTATGGTAGGGAAGAGGATCCTCGTGCCAGGCATCTGGTAATTGCCTGCTGGGATTCATCTCCTCCTGAGTCTCCTGCATCCGTCGAGGTGGCTGGGGCAGCTTTAGCAGCCAGACCTGGTGTCTCAGCCCTGTGCTGGGATCTCAAGGCGGGGGACCTGTCGCCGGCGTGGTGCTTTGCTCCGCTGTCCCACCAGCGGCACGGCGGGGAGGTGCCCACCCGAACCGCTCCTTCCCCTCTCCCCCCAGGCTCCCTCAGCCCGCGGTGCGACAGCGACGGCCGGTGCAGCTGCAAACCCGGCGTGATGGGTGACAAGTGTGACCGGTGCCAGCCGGGCTTTGAGTCCCTCTCTGAGGACGGGTGCCGGAGGAGCGGGCAGTAAGTGCTGGTGACCATCTGTGGCACGGGGGCAGGCGGAGGGACAGCCTCCAGAGCCCTCCCGGCCGCTCTCAAGAGCCCGTGCTGGCTGAAAACACCCCGGGTGAGGGCAGAGGCAGTTTGTTCCGTGGCAGCACACCCACAGCCCTACGCTAACCTCGCCCGGAGCGGGGCTGGACCTCCGTTCCAGCCTGCAGAGCTCACTGTCACGCAGTAGCATCAAAATCTGCGCTGAACCGCACTCGGAGGCGATTGCTTTATCACCCAAATAAAGCAGGCAGCAGCCAGGCTAGCTGATGTAAAATAAAACCTGCCCGCCCGTGGGTCTGCCTGGTGTCGGTGCCACCCGCGAAGACTGGCCCCACGCGAAGGTGTCCATGCAAAACTCGACCCCTTCCTTTGCACGAAGCTCTGTTTAAACACCTTCCGAAGCGTTTCTGCTTTGACACCCTCAGCCCTCTGTCCTTTTCTTCCCTGCTTCACCCCGCTGTTGCTCCTTCGGGACCCCCGGCAGGCAAAAGGTGGGGGCGAGGGGTGGCTGCCCGCAGCCCTGCTGCCATGCCTGCCCTGCTGCCATGCCTGGCCTCCTGCCCGAGCCTCCCCGCGGTGTTGCTGCTCGTTGGAGCTCAGCCAGGCTCTATTAAGCTTCGCAGAGGGTCACTTTGTTCCTGTAGGTGGGTCCGGTGCTCTGGGGTGTCCTTGGGGCTGGAGCGTTGAGCACAGCCTCAGCCTGGCATCCAGACTGCTGCGGCTGGGTTACTTAAAGAGATGGCTCCGCTGATTTATTTTTCCCCTTCTAGGATGGGACTGGTAGCTGGGGCGGGGGGGGGGGGGAGGGGGGGGAGGGATTCTCCGCTGTCTTGTATAACATCTGGGGGCACTGAGCTCCTGGGCCGAGCTGGAAATCCGGGTCGAGGGTCCCGCTGTCCCTGTTGCAGGAGCCCGCAGTGCGAGTGCGACCCGGCTGGCAGCGCGGGGGGCTGCCTCTCCGGCCGCTGTGTCTGCAAGGCGAGCGCTACTGGGGAGCGGTGCGAGAGGTGGGTGTCGGGAGGACTTGCCAGATGCCTGCGTGGCACGTCCTCCACCGCCCTGGCACCTCGGTCCCAGCCTGGCGATGGCCTCGAGCCGTGGCAATGGCTGTGTGGCACGGCTGTCATTAGAGGGCTGGTTGTGTTGGCCGGGAGGAAGAAGAGAAGAAAACGGGCTTGAATGTTGCCACCTTCTTGCCTTTTCCCAGGTGCAAACAAAGCTTCTATAACTTGGATGCCAGAAACCCCGCGGGATGCTCCCCCTGCTTTTGCTACGGGCACTCAGCTGCGTGCGTCAGTGCGGACAACCACAGCGTCTACAACATCACCTCCACCTTCCAGCAAGGTGAAGCCCAAGCAGGACAACCCTACGGCTCCCGGGGGTGTTTGCCATCCCTCCTCCAACGTGCTGGAGGAGCCGCCTGGTTCGCAGCCCTGTTTGGAGTCCCTGTACTTTGATGGGTGGGACGGTCTGATCGTAGGCAGAAGTAGGGTGTGAGCGTCGGGGGGAGCGGAGGCTTGCTTCATCGTGCTTTTTTGGCCACTTGGGAGAAAACCTCAAGGCCCAGCCTGGATTTAGTTATGGATTTATCAGGACAGGGATATCTGTGCTGACCTTGGAGGTCAAGGGGTAGGAAGTTGGAGGGTTTAGGTAAGACACACCTTGAGAAAGTTGCTAGAGTCCTGGAAACGCCTTCCCTGTCCCCGCTGACTGCTCCTTGTTGGTGCTCCAGGTGCCGAAGGCTGGCGAGGTGTCCACGAAAACAGCTCTCCAGCCCAGCTCCAATGGTCCCCGCGCCATCAGGATGCCTTCATAGCGGCGAGGAGATCGGAGCCGATTTACTTTGTGGCGCCTGGTAGGTGTGGGATCAGTGAGGGCAAGGGGAGAGGTGACAGTGTCCCCGCTTTGCTTGGTCTGATCCCATGAACCGAGCCTTTAAGAGGAAGACAGGGGTTTTAAGCCTTTAATTTTCTCCCTTCCTTCCCCTTGCAGCAAAATTCCTCGGGAACCAGCAGCTGAGCTACGGCCAGACGCTCTCCTTTGATTACCGCCTGGACCGAGGGGGACGCCAGCCATCTCCGCACGACGTGGTCCTGGAAGGAGATGGCCTGAGAGTCACTGCCCCCTTCTTGCCCCAGGGGAAGGTCCTGCCCTGCGGCGTCAGCCAGACCTACACCTTCAGGTAAAGGGGGATGCAGCAAGAAAGGCCACAGCTTCAAGGAGCTCCTGGATTCAGCTGTGATCCCTTGGAGGTGACAGATGATTGCCTGGTTTGGGCTGGGTGCATCTCAGGTGCTTCTCTCCTGGGTGAGGAGGTTGCTTTGTGAGAGGGGCAGTAGAAAATCTGGCTTGAGGTTGGGCTGGGTACTTTGCTGGGGGTCAGTCACACGGGTGGAGGTTGTTCCCCAAAGCCCTGAGCTCAGGAGGGAGGTGGGCGAGGGCTGCCGCACTGAGGCATCTCATTTTCTTGAAACGTTTTCTTGATGAGGCATCTCATTTTCCTGAAACTGGTTCCCCTTCTCCCCACTCCCACGGGCAGGTTGGATGAGCACCCGAGCAGCAAGTGGAGCCCGAGGCTGAATCACTTTGAATATCGCAGGTTGCTGGGGAACCTGACAGCTCTCTGGATCCGAGCCACCTTTGGGGAGTACAGTAAGTGGAGGGAGAGCTTGCACGCACAAGGTTGGCTTCTCGCTGCTGGGGGTGCCAAGTCTCCAGATGGAGACACCTTTGCTAAAAGGCATTAAAAAAGAATAATAATTTTTAAAAGTGCCCAAGGACGGGCAAAATTAAATTATGACGGGATTGAGCTAGGATGGCAACAGTGGGGACAGCAAAGCCGTGGCTCCGATCCACCCGCCTGCGGGCGTTGTAAGGAAACGTGCGACCCCCGCGGGTCGCGGGTGCGGGGGGCTTGCAGGTGGAGCTGCTGGCCCCCGCCGGTGACCGGCCGTATCTCCCCCCAGGCACCGGCTACATCGACAACGTCACCCTGGTGTCGGCGCAGCCCGTGGCCGGAGCCCCTGCTCCCTGGGTGGAACGCTGCCAGTGCCCGGCGGGCTACCGGGGGCAATTCTGCGAGAGCTGTGCCCACGGCTACCGCAGAGCTGCCCCCGGCCTGGGGCCCTTCGGCATCTGCGTGCCGTGCGACTGCCAGGGGGGAGGAATTTGTGATCCCGACACCGGTAAGAGCAGCCACCACTGCGCTGTGCTTGTTGGGAGTACGGGATCGCAGGGCATGGGGGGGGCAATGAGTGGGGAGAGATCACTGACCGGAGGGGCTGGAGTGTGGGGAACATCACGGACAAAACTCCCCAGAGCCTAGGAGCGCTGCGGGCAAAAATACAGGTAAGATGCATTTGGATCAAATTGGGTTTAGATGATGCTCATGGGAGAGAGAAAAAGCTTCTCCTACTGCCTGGATAGCATGAAAAACTTTTCTTCTGACGTTTTCTTTTAAAGGTAAGTGTGGTAACCCATCAGGTTGAACAGGGCTTCGAGCAGCCTAATTTATTTGAAGATGTCCCTGCTTATTGCAGGGGGGTTGAACTAGAGGACCTTTAAAGGTCCCTTCCAAGCCAAACCATTCTGTGATTCTGTGTGGTGTGAGTAGATACCAGCACTGTGAACATGTTTTACTACCCGTCTTGTTAAGATACACCACGGTGTTGCCATGTAAAGTCAAAGTAATGCAAAGTTAAGCTGTCGGTATTTTTCAAGTCTGAATTGGAATTTCCAGATATCAGAGTGTTGAACAGGAGGCGCAAAAGGCAGCACGCGGCTCCTCAGGAGCTATAACAGCTGTGAAAAATGAGCTCCAGCCCCCTTGCCGTGGGGTGGGCTCCTCCGTGGGGTCTCGTCGGGCTCCCGTTGCAGGAGCAGGGCACGGTCCTTCCCGCCTGGTGACGGGGCTGATGGGCAGGCGCGGGGATGGCGAGGGCTCCGGTGGAGGGTGCGGGACCCACGGGTGCTTGTGCTGTGGCGGGTGGCACGGCCACCGGCCGAGGGGGTGGCCAGGAGGTGGAGTGGTGGAGGGCGTCCCGCCGGGGCTGAGAGCAAACTGCCCTACGTCCTTTCCTTCCTCCTCCAGGCGAATGCTACTCGGGAGACGAAAACGTGGGCAATAGCGTCGGCTGCCCCTTCGGCTTCTACCGGGAGCCCCGGCAGCCCCACGGCTGCAGGAGATGTCCCTGCAGCAACGGCCAAGGCTGCTCGGTGGTGCCGGGCAGCGAGGAGGTCGTCTGCGACCGCTGCCCCGCTGGAGCTGCCGGTAATGCCCCTCGCCCAGCTCGCTTCTGCTCTGCTTTTCCCTGGAGTTTCAACCCGCTGTGCGGGAAGATGCTGGGAGCCGGGTGGGTTGCCCCATCCTCTCAGCCCAGCTTGCCTATGGCGCTGCTGCTCCCGCCTGTAACTGGGTGTTTCAGCCCCAAGGGCTGTGCAAACACGCGTTGCCCTGCACTGGGAAAGGTTCTCACCTAAAAGCTAGCTTGGATGGAAAAAGGATGGGTGGGGAGGGAGGGCAGTAGAAAAATAGGAAAAAAACGAGCAGGAAATGACTTGCTCGAGGTCAGTCGCTGCACCTAGCTTTCCAGCGTGTCCAGACCGTGGTGTGGTGGCGAAGTGGAGATGCTGCTGTGCCAGCCCCAAGGGGGCCGAATGCCCCCATTTCTGTGGGGCAGAGGGAGCGAGGCAACCTCTGCCTTTTGGGCAAGAGCGTGAGCTTTTCCCCGTTCCTCTTTTCCCAGGGGCCAACTGTGAGTACTTGTGCCGACGGCTATTTTGGAGACCCAGCGGCTTCCCGGCCCTGCCAGCCGTGCCGGTGCAACGGCAACGTGGAGCCCAACGCCGTGGGCAACTGCGACCGCCGGACGGGCGAGTGCCTCAAGTGCATCTACAACACCGCCGGCTTCTACTGCGACCGCTGCAAGGACGGCTTCTTCGGGAACCCCCTGGCCCCCGATCCTGCCGACAAGTGCAGAGGTGAGAGCTGGGGATGAGTAAGAAAATCCACGCCGGGGTGCGGAGTGGCTGGATGGGAAGGGGGATGCTGCAAAAGCCGGGGCTGGAAAGCGGGAGTGGAGAGGAGGAATGGGACCACAGGGATAAACTGTAGGAGGAAAGCATGGGAGAGGGTGGGTGGGAGGATGTGCTGAGGCTTGAGGTGGGGATGGGCTCCTCTGAACCTGTGCTGCTCTGACCCGCAGCCTGCGCCTGCGACTCGGCCGGCGCCGAGCCCCTGAAGTGCGGGAGCGATGGGAGCTGCATCTGCAAGCCTGGCTTTGAGGGTCCCAGCTGCGAAGAGAGTGAGTGCCCGGCTTGCTACGGCCAGGTGAAAGCCCAGGTGAGCATCTGTGCCAGCCCCGGGGCCGCTGAGCTGCAAGGCGTGCAGCGATACCCTTACCCTCAGCATCTCCTCCTGGTGAGAGTGAGAAGTGATTTTGCAGGCTGCACCTGAACTTTGGGTTTGTACCCAAGTCAAATGACAAAAAGCTGATGACCTTAGGCTGCTGGCTGGCTGTGCCTCATCCAAAAATGAGCCCTTGCTTTGCTCTCCATCCTCTGGCCGCACCGTGGGACCTGGTTGCCACATTGGGCTTTCCGCCACGGGTTCGGCGTCCCGCTGGCTGATGGCCTGTCCTGCTGTGGTTGCAGGTGGACCTGTACCTGCAGCAGCTGGCGGAGCTGGAGCTGCTGTTCTCCGAGCAGCAAGCTGATGGTGGGGCCGAGAGCCAGGAGCTGGAGGGGAGGATGCAACTGGCTGAGGAGATGCTGCAGACCATCCTCAGGGAAGCCCTGAGCCTGCAAGGTACCACTCGCCCGCTGCCCTCGGATGGGGCCATCTGTGCTCTTACCAGGGGAGGGCTTTGCTGCCCGGGCCTTTTTGCTCAGCGTTGAGTTTCTCTTCACCCTTCCTCTTTCCTCCTCACCAGCCTCTGACAAGTCTCTGGAGAGCCGCGTGGTCAGGATGAAGGGGCAAGGGTCCAGCTTCCAGAGCCGCTTGGACGAGATCAAGGCAACGGTGGAGAGGCTGAGGTCTCTGGGGAGCCAGAACGAGAGGCAGGTTCAGGACACGCGGAGGCTGCTGGGGAGAGCCAGGCTGGACCTGGACCGAAGTGGGGCCACTCTGCGTAAGGTGGTAAGAACATTCTTGTGCGACACGCTCCTAGTCTCACCCAGGGCTGAAAAAAATCCATGGAGAAAGCAAGAATTTAACATATTCCAATTATTACATTTGGTCTGTGAGCGCAGGAGGTATTCTGGTGGTCCTTTCTGTAGGGCTGGGACCTGGAAAGGTGCTGGCAGGGGAATTTGGGGGGCTGTGGGGGTTACCTCTTTGCTGAATTGGACGGAGGGCAGGGAAGAGCACTCACGCCACTCTTCCTCCCTCCTCAGACCATTCCTGTTTCAAACCTTCCCGGGGGCTCGAATCAGTTCTTGATATTGGCCCAAGAGGCTCTGAGACTGGCCAACAGGTGAGTTGCTCTTGCCATTGGCCAAGAGAGAGGAGGGAGGGGGACTGAGATCCTGCTGGGTGGCCAGAAGATCCTTTCTGGGGGTTCTTGCCTGGCCACCAGCCTGCAGCTGCCACAACCTCTGATGCCCTACAGAGCTGTCCTTGGTTGCCTTTGAGGGTGGAGTTGGGTGTGTTTTAGAAGCATCTTTAGGGTTAGGGTTTGGGCCATGGGTGCCTAGTTGGAACAGGCAGCATCTGTCTCCCCGCTGGTGCTCCTCTACCTTTGGGAGGTGCATTAGGAACAAGCAAAACACGGGTCCCCCTCCTCAAACACGCTGCGTTTCCTGAGAGGGCGCGATGCAGCATCGCTGAATACAACGGTAAAGGAAGCCGGGGGAGAGAACCCCGGGTGGGAAACCTTTTATCACGAGCCTCCCCTCAGCACCACCGTGCTTTGCAGCCACGCGCAAGCCGCCAACGCCATCGAGCAAGCCGCGAGGGCGGCGCGGGAGGACGCGCGGCGGGCGCTGGAGCTGGCACGCACGGCCGCCGGCGGAGAGGCGGCCGCCTCCGCATCCCTGCTCGGGCTGCTCGGGAAGTGAGTGGGGGCTGCGTGTGGCGGGGAAGGGGCGGGGAGGAGGTGAGGGGGAGGAAGGCCAAGCGTGGGTGCCCTCCCTGGCCTGCCTCCCCCCGCCCCCCAGCCGAGTTGCGGGAAACGTGGGGTTGGAGGCGGGCGTGAGCGGCGGAGGTGGAAGGTCAGTTCTGCGGAGCATCTGCTTCCCACCCCGCAGACCACGATGCGTCTGGGGGAAGGGGTTTTAACGCCGTGTGTGTGAACAGGCTCCCTGGGGTGGGGAGTGGGGGGACGGGACTTCCAGGCGTGGTTGCAAATCTAAGCTGGGTTTAGCCCAAGGGTAGGTTTAGCTGCGTGTTGTCTGCGCCGCTCTCTTGGTGGGGCTGGTGCCTCTCCAGAGCCCACCATGGTGCTGGGATTTTGCACGCCACTGGTGGGCTGCGAGCAACAACCCCGAACACAGTTAAGGACCTGAATGGGGATGGGCTGGAGAAAATATCCAGTGGTAGGACAGGGATTAGCAGAGCCTGCTGTGGAGCCTGTGAGGGTTCAACTGGTGTGAAACACCTTTGGTTTCTGTAGCTGGAGCAAGGAGCCGGCAGACACCCTGCTTGGCAGAGGGGCTGGGATGCAGGGGGATGTTTGTGATTAGTTTTCCCCGCGTGATAAATCTGCACGGGGCTTTGGAGAGCATCAACAAGTCAACTGCAGGAGGCAGCATCAGTGCTGTGGTGGGAGGTTGGCGGCTTGGCCGGTACCGTGCTCTTCAACCTCGTGTCCGTGCAGGTACGAGGAGCTGAAGTCTCAGTCTGGAGCCCTGAAGGCTGAGGCCGACGGGATGGCCGCCGAGGCAGACAGGGCTTATCAAGGCAGCCTGGTGCTCCTCAGCTCCCTGTCCCGCCTGACGAAGACTGACATCGGGTCCTTTGAGGTGAGGGCTTTGGGCCTGTGAGACCAGGAGATCCCTTTCTGCTCTCCCTTACGCCCTCCCTGCTACCCTGCCAGCAGCTCAGCCCTTCCCAGGCCTCCATCCCTGTTGGAGAGCCACCCGATAGGCATCTTCCCACCCTTTTGCTCCCGTAGCTGGCAGTGGCTCCCGGCGAGCACCGGGGAGATGCTGGCACCCGCAGCCGGTCCCTCGCATCTCTGCGTTTCAGGGGGAGGCAGCCCGGCTGAAGCAGGACGCCGGTGCTCTCCTGAGCCTGGTGGACACCTCCATGGCACAGCACAGGCAGCTGCAGAGCCTCGCGGGGCGCTGGCAGGAAGAAATCAAGCAGTGGCTGCGGAGGGGAGAGGGCGAGAGGGCGGTAAGAGGTTGGCTGGGGTTGGGGGGGGGGCTGTGGCTTGAGTCGTCTTCAGCGTGAGCTGGAGCCTGGGTGGGATGCCCAGTGGCACCACCGCCACGACGTGCCTTCCTAGCCTGGCCGCCCAAGGGGATGCAGCTCTGCCTGCCTGCTGCGGGGTGATAGCACCCTTCCTCAGAAACGCAGCCGGTCCTCCGGAGCTGGTGGGAAACCTCACCGTGTGCGCGGAGCTGCTGGGGCGGGGTCTCACCTGCACACCTCCCCCACGTGAAGCAGGTTGAGGACCTGCTCCTGGAAAGATTAGAGCTAAGATGAGTCAGGATGGCTGGAGCTGGTCGAGGAGCACCGGCACAAGCCTCTGCTTTGACGCGTCAGGCTGCGGTAGCCTTGATTCAGGGGCAATGGCAGGCACCCGGGAGCAGGCTGATGGGTCTTCTCCAGTGCGGCTGCTCTGGGGCCGTCCGATGCTCCCGTGCCACGTCCTTCATCTGCCCAGTTGTGTCCCTTTGGCCTGTCGCAGATGCTGACACAGCTGCTGTCCCGAGCCAACCTCGCCAGGAGCACAGCCCTGCAAGCCGTGAGCGCTGGCAACGCCACCTTCTACGAGGTGGAACAGATCCTGAAGAGCCTCCGGGGTAACGCCCTAGGAACCCTTTCCTTTCCCCTCCCTTCTGGGGTCTCGCAAAGGCAGCACAGCTTCATTTCTGCTTATCGTTCTTTCAGAGTTTAACCTGCAAGCAGATGACAAGAGAAGGGAAGCTGAAGATGCCATGAGGAGGCTGCCGATTGTCAGCAGCATGGTCGCAAGTGCCAGGGAGAAGACAGACCGAGCTGAAGCCACCCTGGGCAGCGCCGCTTCCGAATCCAAGGCGGCCAGCAGCGCGGCAGGGAAAGCCAAGGAGATCACCGTGGGGATCCAGCAGGTGAGGGCAAGCCCTGGTGCTGTTTGTTGCTGACAGAAAAAGGTTTGGAAGGGAAAAGCATGGAAGAAGAGGCAACACCAATGGGTCTCCACGGTGGAGCTGATGTGTTGATTTTTGGAGCTGATGTATTGACTTTCAGACCTCATGCGTTGACTTTTTGGCTGACTTGTGCTGCAGAAATAATAGAATTGGCTGTAGGTGAGCTGGTGCACGGAGATCTTTGCAGGTGTGTTTGTCCTGTGAGGATCTCTGTGGCATCTCTCTGTAGCCACCTTTTGGTGACCAAGGGGATTTTTCACTTCCAGAGTCTGAGTTGCTGGCAGGTATATGAGCTCCCAGAACTGGGGTTGGTGGGTTCAACTTCCAGACTGTGTGTTGTAATTCCCAAGGGATTCGCTGATGTCTGCAGGAGGGGTTGAGCCATAATCATAGAAAGAGCTCTCTGGTGGGAGCACATGAAGGACGCAAGAAAGCCTGCAATAATTTTAGGTCACTGTGGAAGGAACCAGTTTCCACCAGCTTCACGCCCCATTGTACCCAGACTGATTTCAGCCATCCCCTTTCCTAGGAGATCACACTGCTGAAGGTGGAAGCCAACAAGACGGCCGATGGTGTCCTTGCCCTAGAGAAGGCGGTGGCCACCCTGCAACGTGAGGCCAAGGAAGTGGACGGTGAATTTGAGAGGAAGCTCTCGGACGTTGAGGCGGATGCTGCTGTGATACAGGAGGTGGGTCCGTGTCTCCCTTGCCTTGCCCCCTTTCCCTGTTGAGGTTTGGGTGAGACTTCACCTTACAGCTGCTGCCTTCCCTTCTTCAGACAGCTCAGGAAGCTCAGAGGGTCCACGCCAAGGCTGGCCGGGCAGGGGTGGTCGTGCAGGAGACTTTGGGCGCCCTGGAAGAGCTGCTGCGTCTGATGAGTAGGTTTTGTGCCGCGTGGATCCTGCTGGGCTCTGGGCAGAGGTGCTGGGAGCTGTGCGGGAAGCTGCCTCAGACGGTGCCCGTAAACGGGCTGGGCAGCAGGATGGAGATATGAAGCATCCAGAAAGATCTAGCCCTCAGCCCCCATGAATCCTCCCCTCTTCCTTGTTTTCCTCCTGTGCAACAGACCAACCTGGTGCTGTGGACGAGGATGGCCTGAGGCAGCTGGAGGTGAATTTTAGTGAAGCCAGAACCAGAAGCAACCAGCTGAAGGATGAGGTGTCGGAGCTGGAGCAGACAGCCGCGCTGCAGAAGGCCCGGGTGCGGACGCTGGAGAGCAGCATTGACGAGATCCTGGCGGATATTAAGAACCTGGAGGCTATCCAGAAGAGCCTTCCTCCAGGCTGTTACAACACAAAAGCCATCGAGTTGCCGTGAGCGAGCTCTGGAAAGGCTGCAGCGCCTGCCAGGCCGTGAAGGCAGGAGAGCCTGGCCCAGCTGCCCTCCCCAAACCCGGCAGGACCGGCTGCATTGCGTTGTGTTGAACTGATCCTTACCCCCAAGTTCAGCGTGGCCACTGAAGTTTGTATTGTCACGCTGGCCTGGAGAGTCCCTGCTATTTCAAAGTAGTCCGTCCCTCGGTCACAGGAGGAAGGAGGTGTCCGGTTGAGTGAAGGTGCTACTACGGCTGCCCAACATCCCATTCCTACAACATTTCCGAGGTGCAGATGGGGGTTGCTGGGTGTCAGCCTTGGGAGTTTGCGTGGTTCAGAGCCTGAAGTTCACAGCTAAAAGATTCTCCATCCCCTGTGGATCCCCTCTCCTGGGCTGGCACACACAGAAGGACTAGAGTCACTGTCCTTGCTTTTGACACTGCCACCACCACCACCACCTCCTCAAGTTTTCCGCGGGGTCTTCGTCACCTTCGGTAGCTCAGGAGGCAGGGAGCAAGCAGCGTGAGGTGGCAGCTGGGGGAGAGAAGGTTTGATCTGTGACACCAGTGATGCTTCACGGGGCTTTCTCCTCCCAGCCTGCCCAGTCCTCACCTTGCTGGGAGTGGTGCTGGTGTGGCTTTTGCTGTGGCTTTGGAGATTCAGCATCAGAGGCTGCTGCTGACCCTTTTCATAAAGCTGCAGGTCTTCCATGGTGCTTCTCAGTGAGGCCGTTACTGTTTTGCTAAAGGGGAAAAAAAAAAAAAAAAAAAACCAAACCCAAACCGATGCCAGCTGGTTTTGAGATCAGCGTGATGTGCTGCATGGAAGAAGAAGGGGATCCCAGGTTAGCAGAGGAGGAGAACACTGCTGGGGCTCCTCAAGTGGAAACTCTTCTTACCTGCTCCCTTCAGCCAGGAGGAGAAGGCCTCCTTTTTTCCTCCCGCACTTCTTCTAGAGTCCAAAAGCCCCAGAGGGATGGCTTTCTTGTCGAAACTTCTCCTCTGCAAGCACAGGTCTCCCTGCCATCCCCCTTACACACTCAAGCACAACCTTTCCTCCCAAGACCAGTCAGTTTGGTATCAGGCAGCTTCCTGGGTGTCCCAGGGCCCAGGAAAAGCAAGGTGGTGTCCCCTCTGCACAAGCACCCAGGACCCTGCAGCACTTGTCACAGGAACTTTCTCCAGGGGTCTGCAGCCACAACCTCCCGTGTCTGAGAGCCTGGCCCCATCCTGCCGGAGTGCCAGCATCCCCATTTCAGCTGTTTAAAAATATTGACCATGTCTTGAATGTGTGTCTGCCTCTGGTTTGGTGCTGCCCATTTCCCCCACCACCACCCTCCCTCTCCCTCCCGCGTGGTGCTGGATGTTTCTCAGAGGCTCAAGTAATTGTCTGCAGGGTTTCCCACCGGACCTCTGAGCAGAGCTTGGAGGAGCTGAAGGCCACAGTGCTCCCGTCACCCACCTGAGGCTTTCCTGTGGGTCCAGCTCTGTTTTGACACCACTCCCAGCTTACTTTAGATGCCATTTCAGGGGAAAAAAAAAGAGCCAGCAGATGCTGGAAGTCATCTCTGCTGAAGCCCCCTGACCTGTGTGGTGGTGAAAGAAGAGGTGCTGGATGGAGGAGGACACTTTGGGGGGACACGCTCAGCCCTCATTAGCTCTGATTTTCTGATAAAGCAGCACCCCTGCTTTTGCTTGATAAGGATATACTAAGTAATATGTCTGCCTTATACTTTTATTGTATTTTATTTAAGTGAGATGTATTCTTGCCTTGGGCATGTCTTCCTTCTTCTGTTGTACAGCATAGGGACAAGTATTACAGACCTGACTTTATTTTTCCACAAGCTGGGTTTTTTGAAAGGGAGAAGGTCAATAAATAATGAATACTTTTGGCTGGATCTTGCCTACTGGTTTATTTTCTCTAGCTCCCTGTTTTGGGTGAGTTTGGTCATTGGCTCTCCCAGCAGCGTAGCTGCTTGTGCTCTTCATGCTGACTTGGTGTTTGGGCTTTTTTGAAATGACACCAGTAACATGGTTTTGTTTTGTTTTGTTTATTACATAATTTAAACATTTGGCTGATAAAGTTGTTTGTTGGGTTTTTTTGTTTTTTTTTTGTTTGTTTTGTTTTGTTTTGTTTTGTTTTGTTTTGTTTTTCTCAATGACTGTTTTTTTCATATAGCAACAGAAGAAAAAAAAAAAAATAGGCTCCAAAACTTTTGACAAAGGTGAAATTGGTGGCATGGCAACTTCAACCCCTTTCCCTCCCTCCCCCCTTTTAAAAATTTTTTTTCAAAAGGTGGTTGAAGTTCATTTATTTTTCAACAAATTGCCCTGTTTAAAAGTGGAGGTTCAAAGACCAAAACCCACCAGCTTCTTCCCACCCCTCCCCTGCACCCTGGAAACCCCGGTCCTCACCTCCCTGGCCATCACATGGATCTTCAGGGATGATTTTATTTTATTTTTTTTTTTTCCCCATACCCACCCAAAGACATTCTCCAAACCAGTCCCAGAGCTGACCGACCCGTTACAAACCCCCCCGCCCCCATGTCCCACCCCCCGTCGTACTGTGAGTTTTACTGAGCGGATACACGAAGGCGCAGGTAAGACTAGTAAGACAGAATATACTCATCATCCGTACCACAACGCTACGTCTCTAAGGCATGCCGTCCTAACCGCGAATGGGATGGGGGCCGGCTGGCTTCCCCTGCGTCCCATCTCGCGTACCTGAGGGAGGGAGGGAGGGAGGGAGGGAGGATCTGAGATGGCTCTCGGACACGCCGCCTGCCTTCCTTCTCCATCCCCTTTGGTTTTTTGTTTATTTTTTTTTTTTTCCTTGTGTCTTTTCCTCAGCTAAAACCCACCGTCCTTCCTCCCCCTTCAAAGAAGCACTGCTCCCCCAGGAGGTTAAAATCCCTCTCTATGTATGTTTGTGTTTTGGAGGCTGGTTGCTACCAGTGTTTTTTTCTCCTCCAGCTTGAAGCTAAGAAACATGGGTGACGTCTGGCAAGGAGAGGAGGCTGCTGTCTGAAATAACTTCTGTGTTGGGGTGGCGAGACTGAAAAACTGAACATGTGAGAAGAATGGGTGGAGAGGAGTCTAGCTTTTGGCTTATGCACCTTGGGTGTCTCGTGGATGAGCTGTCCCACCACGGGCACCAGCCCAGCATGTTAGCGGAGGGAGCTCAGTAGGGTGTTGGTGAGCAGCTCAAGCTGGCTGAAGACCTCCCTGGAGAGGTGTCCCTGCACTCCGAGTCCCACACACTCTCCTCACCCTCTCTGCTTTGGTGCCTCCGTATCTCCTCATCCCATGGGATATGTATGCGACCACCTGGAGACACCAAAGCTGGGGCTGAGGGATTCAGCTGCTGAATTTATGACAGGTCCCAAACAAGCCTCTCCATGCAGAGGGAAATCCCTGGTGAGGAAAGACGTCTTCTGGCCTTTGGGCAAGTCACATCACTTCTGCCTCTCTTGTTTTCCCTTCTGGGAAGGGCTGTGCCCTACTCGAGAAGTCGTTAGCTACTATTCGTAAATCCCTGCTTGCTGTAAGGAGCCTGTGACTGTAGGCTGCCTTGTTTTGTCCAAAGCTGCTTTCTATTACAGAGATGCCAGCAGCACCCAGCAGCTCACCAAATTTAGTGCAATGTCCCGTCTTTGGAGCTTCCATGAGAGCAGCTTGTGACTCTTTGTAGACGTTTAAGGGAGAGAAAAAAAAAAAAAAAAATGTAATTTCAGATTTTTCCTGGAAACACCCTCCTGGAGGCCTCTCAGCCTTTGGGTGTCTCAGTGCAGCACTGTCCCTTGCTGGGGACCAGCAGCTAGTCACAGCGCTGCCCTAAGAAAGTCAAAAAGCCAGCCTGGGCAATGGTCGTGCTTTGGGAGGGGGGGGTGGTGGTGTCTAGCCTGGGCCTAGTTAGTCCAAATTTGTGGGGAGTGGGCAGATGTGCATGAGCTGTAGGCAGCAAGGCTATACCCAAAGCGACAGAGGGTTAGACAGGAGGAAAAGGTGAGGAGTAAAGCAGGACTGTACCTTCCTCCCTGCGGCTGTGACCTTTCCCAGGGGCTGTGCAGGGTCCTCGCACCCGAGGGCTGCTCAGCAGGACAACGGCCTGCTTCAGCAACCCTCCTCTCTGCAGGACTTAAATAATTTTCTTTTGCTCTGCGTTACCTGCCCTGCTCTTAAGGCGAGCGTCTCCACTAGGCTCCAGCCCTGGCACCTGGGGGCACGTCACAGGCAAGGAGAGCAGGAGCCTGGCATGTCCCAAGGGATGTGCAAAGTAGCCACAGCTGGTTTGGGAGGGGGAAAGTATCATGCATTTAATAAACTCTACAGGGAGAGGAAGAGGGTAGGAGTGGAGGGAGAAGGGGGAAGTTTACAGGCAGAAATGGAGATCTGGAGGCTAGAGGCTGGGGATGGACCCAGCCCCCACAAAGCTCAGCCAGGTTCGGGGCAAATTCTCACCGGAGGTTTTGGGTCACCACCTGCTTCTTTCTCCCTCGTTTCTTGGCTTCATAAATGGCAGGTCTGTTTCTAGGTGCTGTGGGCTGTCTCCTCCGACACTGGGTCAGAGTAGAGCATCACCCCAACTCCACTTGCCCGGGGGGTGGGTTGGGTTCACTTGCAGCCGAGGAAAAGTGAGACATGCCATTCCCCCCTCTAGCAATGCTTTGGCAGCGATGCTTGCCAAGGCCTCTGCTCCCCATTCAGAAATGCCCTCTCCATGATTTTTCAGGGCCAGGAGGAGGATTTTGTTAACGGGTTGTCCTACTGCCGGCCTGAGGAGGTTCACCTGCTGCGGGGCACCGAGCCATTTGGGTTACAACTGCCCGCTGCCAACCAGGATGTGTTCGGTCATCGTGTCGAGAGGCCCGAAGGGCTCGCACTAAAACTATTTAAGAAAAAAAAGTCCACCTAGATTTATTGAGCGCAAGTACTGTAAGATGATGCAGAAGAGGAAGCCCCTGCTCTGAGCATGCTGGGAGGACGGACCGGGGGGACCATTTCCCAGTGCCATGCTGGGAGGGGGGTGCCGGAGCCACCTCCCCGCGAGCGCACCGAGCACATCGCTCTTTTACTGGTCCCCCCTCCCTCCCCGCGTACGAGGGGGAGGGCGGTTCCCCCAAAAAAGAGACCAAACCGTTCCCCTCGGGGCCGTGCTGCGGTTCCCTGGACATTGCTGCACGATGGAGCGCTGGCGCCGGGGGGTGAGAGGCAGACACGGGCAGGAGGCCATGGGGTGGGGAGAGAGATGGAGACACGGGCTGAGAGAGAGAGAAAAGAGTGATGGAGAGCTGTAGGCAGGCGGGACACGAGGGCTGTCTCGCTGCAGGACCTCTGGCGCTTAGCCGGAGGCGTTGATGTAGAGCTGGCTCTTGAGGATGTAGTCGATGACGGGCTGGCAGAGGTAATCCACGACGTGGCCGTCCCCGTGCTGCAGGGCCAGTCTGGGGGTGCCAGGGGAGAGAAAGGGGGTCAGAGCCCCACTTGGGTGGGTCGGGTGCCCCAGCAAACGGAGGGGCTGGCTGGGGGCACCCCTCTTCCCACTCCGTAGAGCCCCCCCCTGCATAACCCACCTGCTTTTGGTGGAGCTGACGACCGACATGGGGTGGTTTGAGTCGTCCTTCACCACCAGGATGTTGTTCTGCAGGGGAAGGAGGAAGAGTGGAGTGAAAGGATGGCCTGAAATTGGGCGTGTGTCCTGCCAGCCCCCCCTCGCCCCACTGGCCACAGGGGCCTGCTGCACGGTGGCCCCATTGCTCACCCCACCTAGCAGCTGAGGGCATCTGGCCTCGAGACATTTTGTGCCCCGTGGCAGAAGTGCTCCCCTGGGTAAAGAGGTGGCTGCGGGTCCTCTCGCAGCCTTCCCTCGGCCACACGTGCATCCGCTTACTTTGTACTTGCGGAGTATGGAGGAGTGGTTCATGATCCGGTCGGGGTCTGCTCCATCCCGGGGCACCACTACAATCCCGAACTCCCCGACGATCACCTCCATCTAGGAGCAACCCAAAGCGGAGAGAGCTTTATAACCACCCCACGCAAAACCTGCCACTGTCTGCCAAACCCTGGCAGCTGGGGGCTGGCACGGGCTGCACGGAGACAGAAACTGAATTCGAGGCTATCTCAACAGCCTTTGGCAGAAACTTGGAATTACCAAGGTGGGGTGAGTGGTCTGCAGTGGATGAAATAAAAAGGCATAGGGTTAAATCCTATTACTAGACGTTGAGATTAGGCTTTGGGGAAGATTCGTCGTGGTAGAAGGAGGGTGGCAGCAGAAGAGGTTGCTCAAGGAGGACGTGACCTCTGGCTCACTGGAAGGCTTTATGAGCAGGATGGATGTGTTGGTCCTGACAGAGGTCTTGTAGGGTTGGTCCTCTGAGGTTGTTTGTGCCAAGACTGGCGGCCAAGTTATCCACCGCGTGGGGACGGCTGCCCCTGCTCACACCCGTGAGACAAACCAGGCTCATCCAAAAGAGCTCTGGCTCAGCAAATTCAAGTGGTAGGAGCCCATGAGGTGGTGCTGGTGCAGAATGCCGCCTCTGCCTGTGCTTTGACACCCAATTTTTGCCATCCTTTGTGCTGGACTTCAAGACTTGCCTCATCTCCGTTTTTTCGGCCTTTTAGAGGAGATACCTGCCAGCTAACTGTTTTAAAAACCTTAAAATTGAAGTTGTGGTAACGGATTTAAAAATGGCTGAGAGGCTCAGGGAGGGGGTGGCTTGTGTTGACCGTCTGATTTCAGCAAAGAGCCGGGGTGAGCTCCCACAGCCAGCACCGCTCGGCCTCCGGGAACAGCATATGGGTGGGCAACCCAGCCCCTCTCTAGGGCTGGTGTCCTCCCATGAAAATACGGCTTCTTCAGACAGGGACCACGGTGTCCAGGGTGCCGGGTGTCCTTCCTCCTGCAGTCCTTCACTAATAGGGGGGAAGGGGGGATGGAGGGGGGGGGGCAGTGGATTTCATCCATTAGAGCTGCGGCAGTGAAGGTGCAGAGCGGGGCTCGTGTCAGCTGCGAGCTGACGTTAGGCATCATCTGGCTGACGAGGCAAGATGGTTTTAATTCTCGGTCTTTGTAAAGATGAGTATGTGGGTACCCCACACTGCAGGAAAAGCCTTCTTTTATGTGAAAGCTGTTGATCTGCCTGTAAATGTGTTTAATTTCTAACATCTGGTCAACTTCTGTAATTATCGTATTTCCTACCTCCATACCTCACTCTGCTGGGACTGGCATCTATCTACTTGATGCTGGCTCCTTCCAAGGGGTGAGGAGTGGGAGCGCAGCCCTTTGGAAATCCCATGGGATGGGCTTACCCTGAACCCATGCTGACGTCCTCCGTGTCAACGGTGAGTGGGAGTTGGGCTTGGGGGCTGCGGAAGGGGAGGCTGGGCAGGGTTGGTGACTCTGGAGCAGAAGACCCTGTCCCTCAGGCTGCCCGCGTGTAGGGGAGGCGAGAGTCAGGGTCGGGGTGGAGGAGGCAGTGGGGATGGTGGGCCCAGCTCCTGCCATCCCGAGGGACCTGAGCGGCTGCCAGGAGTGTGGGAAGCAGAGGAGGAGGAAGGGAGCCTGGGGAAGAGGAGCACAGGAGGGGTGCCCCGAGGCAGTGACTCACGTCCGCCTCGTTCCAGAGACCGGGGATGCAGAAGGACTCCAGCAGGTCGCTGCCACAGAGCAGTAAGATGCGAAGCTCTGAAGAAAAGAAGCAGAATAAGTTTAGAGGTGGGGAGCAAAGGGGCCTGAGCAGGTATTGCTCCCACCCCACCACCCCATTTCACTGCTTGGCGGGAACCTCTTCTGCACAGCCCTCCCCCTGCCAAAAGAAGTCCCGCTAAAGATCCCGTGGTCCTTCTCGCATCCCTACCGGTGCCAAATATCAAATACCCCCCACCCTACTTCAGCTCAGCTCCTCTCCCGTGCTGCTGGGTTGTTGTCAGCATTGCTACGTGCTGTTCAACTACGGCTGTGCTCCAGCCCTGGAGGTGGGGTGTCCCTGGGGAAGGGAGTCTTTTCTCCTTGTTACAGGCACCCACAATCGCTTCACGATCTGCTGCAGAGGCTCCAGCCATGGGGCAACGAGGAGAGCCCAGAGGATTGCTCAGAGCCCTGGGTATGGCTGTGTTTGCTTTTTAGAAAAGCTGATGGTGGAGCAACAGAGGTTTTGCTTGCTCATCTTGGAGGACTTCAACGTCCACCCTTTCTCTCCCCAGGTTGGGTCTGGTGCTTGCTGACAGCTTGGATTTGCTGCTCAGCAAGAAACCTGTGCTGCAGGAAGGAGCCTTCTGCTCTGACAGGCCTGTCAAGATGAATTTACTTGCACAACCACCAGAGGAAAGCCATAAACCCACCCAGAGGGGTGGGAAGAGGCGGCTGCATTGGAAGGTGCCTCCCTGGTTGGCACTTCCAGGCGGCCAAAGCCCTTGGGCTCTGCATGGTGCCGGTGCTTGGATGGGTGTTGTGCCAGGCTATGTGTGAGCTAGCCCATGAAATGAGTCTCAAAATCACCAGCAAGCTACCCAAGCAGAGCCCCGGGTGATGTACGGTGGTGGCCAAGTGTGTGGCAGCCTGGTGGGTCTAAAAGCCCTAAAGGGCTTTAGAGAAAGGGGCCCCGTGGCTGGTCCCTGAAATCCCTCCTGCTGCCGTGCACAAAGCTCTGCAAGGCTGCAGGCAATGAGAGAATGGGGGTGACACCACCGTGGGAGGGCAAGTTTGATGGCCTTTGGGGTGACTTTCAAGGCATGATGCCACGGCAGGGCCACGCTGCTCGCTCCCTTATTTCAGGCTGCTTATCTGCCAACGGGAGGAGGCTCGGGCCAGTTTAGCGCTGCTCCTGTTTCAGCCCTGAGCCCCGATAGCTGTCACCGGGGCGAGACGATCCAGCATCCTTCGCTCGCCACGAGATCTGTCGTGCAGCTGCTCCTGAGCCGCGCAGCGCTGGCCCGGAGGAGCCAGAGCGGTGCCGCGTACTCACCGATCTCCTCGTATCTCATCACCGTCCCCAAGTTGGCATTTTCATCTGGGGAAGGGAAGCAAAAGAGAGTTGCTGGTGCCCGGCTTAGAATACAGGGCTCAGAGGAAGGCTGGGGGCTGGAGCTAAAGCAGAGGTGATGCTGGACTCTACGTACCCACAAAGGTGAAGCGCTCCATGGGCGGGCGGACGCAGCAAATCCGGCTCAGGCTTTCTCCCACCTTCCCCAGGATCTTTGCTGAAGGTGAAGAAGGAAAAGTAATGGGAGAGAGGCTGTGCAACCAGCCCGCACAAGCACTTTGGGCACCCTGGTCCTGAGAGATACTCCTGTGCCTGGGTGCGGGAACTGCTCTCAGCATCTCCCCACCACCTCCTTTTGTGGTCTTAACTCCCAAGAATGCTATTCTGTGCCTTGAAGTGACCAGCTGGACAACTAAAATCACTACAAAAATCACAAGATGTTAGTTTTTATGGTATTCAAATAATGCTCCCTCTTCTGCCTGGCTAACACCTCCACGTCCCACATCCCGCTGGCTCGTGGGGCATCCGGTCACATCACCTCTCCTGCCAGTTCATCCCTTGCATGCACCCCAGGGGTGCCCGGCAGCCTGATCTCACTGCCTGGACATCACCCAGCTGAAGTCCAGTGAGATTTCACAGCCATTCTAAGTCATTCTTGGCTTCTCTTGCTGTGCTGGATGCCAACTAACTCCTCCAGCACATCCCCACCCGACCCTGGGCTTGGTGCATGGAACCTGATGAGCGAACTGACCCAAAAATGAGGATGGACCACCCTTCCTAACGCTTGGCAGCCCTGGCTGGGAGGTGAGGGGTGGGTGGTCATCCCCCTCCTCCCCACCCTGCTGACACCTACCTGCGGTGGGCTTGTTGGAGACGTTGTTGTTGTTCTGGTAGATGGTCTGCGAGGACTCGTTCTGGGGCTGGCCGATCACAGGGGGTGATGGAGGGTGTGTTGACAGTTGGAGAGGATGCAGCCAGTCACTCTCTGCAATGAGGGAGAGACGTAGCTGGAACTGAGCCTTCACCCCAGCTACCTCCCAAAACCTTCAAAACCCCCGTATCAAGCCTCTGCACCCCAGGCTGAAGGTCATCTTTAGAGAGAGGTACATCCAAGCTCACTTTAGGATCCCCAGTCCCATCCGACCTCACCAGATGGGCCTGGGGCTAGCAGGACCCTGTGGATAAGGACTCATGATTAAGGCTGGGGATGGTGGGATTAACTGTTTTTTGTGTGGACCATGAGGCTGGCAAGGCTGCAGCCGCGCTGCCCGCAGGCAGGCATCGCTCCTGTTGCCCGGAGGTGCTCATAAATTTGGATGAATAAATAAAAACACAGCAGCTGATGTAACAGTGGTGCAAATCCAGCATCTTGCACGTTAACCCTGGGCACAAACGTGCCCTCTTCTCCTCCACCGGTCCCCGAAAGAGAAGGAAGGCATCTCCAGGGGCTCCCTGCCTTCGACACCGCTGTCCCTGAGTGCGCTGGACATCCCACTGGGCTGGTTAATGCTACTTCTGTGCCTCCTGCCCGGGCTGCCCGTGAGTTTGTATGATGCTGTTTTATTCATGTCCCATCCTTGGTTTGCTCGCTGTAGCCCGGTGTTGGCAGCAGCCCTGCTCTCCCCGTCCCTGCAGTCACCTGAGAGCGGGCGCTCTTCCCCCTTGGCTCTCAGGCCTGCCTGGGCTTTGGAGGGACTTTTCCTTCTAGGTTTTGTGCTCCCCAGGGACTTCCCAGATGCTGAATTTTCCCGCTGAGTCACTCCGTTGGGTTCGTACAGCAGTTTCGGCTCAGCTGGTGAGTGGGGATGCCTGTCTACCTCCCCTTCCCCTCAGGGTGGAGCAGGCAGTCAGCATTAATGATTTGCCTTCTGTCCTTCCCCTGCTCCCCTCCTGGTGTGTGTGGGACTGGGAAGGCTGCTGGCTCTGGCTGCAGGGCTCAATTTGCTGTCCCCATCGGGGCAAGGAGCTCAAAGGGGCTGTGACAAAGCACCTCACACTTCTTCCAGGTCAGGATTTCAGGCACGTTCCTGCACTGTCTTCTCCCTGCCCGTCCCACCCACGTTTTGTTTGTTGATGTCCACGCGCTGGTGCAAGAGCAATCCCGCTCCTGCGCTCTCCCCACGCCCTCACCCCGGGTGACACCCCCCCCCCCCGGCGTGGGGGCTGCCTCACCTTCATCAGGTCGCGGTGGTGCTCCAGCACGCTGCAGGTGGTCTGCCAAGTGTCCTGGTAGCACTCCCAGGGGTCCACCCTGCGAGGAGCACAGCAAGGCAACCGCGTTGGCCAGTGGCCACTGCCTGGACCTCCTGGCCATGTTAATGTTACCCCTTCCCCAGCGGGCTGGCCAGCAGTACCATGAGAGGCCACCAGCTCTGCCATGGACCATATCCTTCCTCCAGCCCTTCCATCCAGCTCTCCCTAATAGCTCTGGGGACCTCAACGTGTGCCTGAGACACCTTTCCACTCTTGGTACCCAGCTAACCAGCTTTGATTTGGTTTGGATGTAACTACACGTTACAACCTTGTTTCCTGAGGGCAGCCCGGAGATGTTTCTGGTCCCACCTCAGCCACCGGAGGCCACATGGCAATGCTGGGAGGGGGAGAGTCCATGGGCTGGTGCTGCTGGTGTAGAAAGGGGAGGTGCAGTGGCACACGGCCGGGGTGGGCTGGGTGACTTTGGGCCTCACCAAGACACCACAGACTCAGCAGAGGGCTTGCAAGAACCCGTGAAGCCAAAGGGGTCTCCCTTGAAGGACGGTGTAACACTCCTCATCGGTTCTCTGCTGGACTAGGAGAGGAAGGCCTCTGGTTTTTAATCGAGCTTTGGCTGGGAGAGGAGAAAGTCCATCCTGGAGCTCTGGCAGCCAAGTGGCTTCTCCACTTTGCGTGCGGGACTGTGCCACCACGGTGCCGGGGAAGGGGCAGGGGCTGCCGGGGGGGCTGCTGGTGCCGCGGCGGGCGCGGGCTCTGCCACTCACCTGATCCAGTCCGAGGACTGGACGGCCAGTTGGCACATGGTCAGGCGGTGCCGGCTTGAGACCAGACCCTGCAAGAGAGCGTGATGGAGGAACGGTTATGGGAGGCAAGCATCACGCCCTGGCCAGCCTGGGCTTGCCAACCCTCCTGGGGCAGAGCATCAGGCTCGCTCAGGTGAGGCAGGCCAGAAGGATTCGTTCCTGCCCACAAAAATGTATTTAAGCTCGTGTTTGCTGGAGGGGAGGAGTCCCTGCCCTGCTTCAGCCCTGGTTATGCACTGGTCGGTGAGATTTGCTCAGCACCATCACTCAGCCCTGCGCTGCAGTGGGGCCAGACCAAAGGGATGGTGGTTTCTTCGTGAAATTTCTCCACCTTTCAGGAGAGGAGGAAACTCCTGCTTCTCCTAATTTGGATTTCCCGCTGCCTTAGAAAGTGCTTTTAAAGGTTCCTGTTCGCATCATCACCATCCCCACAATAAAATTGGCTTTGAAACCATTCAAACAAAAGACCCAACCCAACAAGACAACCACCACCATTCTGGGGGAGAATGTTTCTCTTTTGCTGTCTAGTACTTTGGCTGGTTGTAAGGTCCCGCTGCAGTTTTTATCTAAAGAGTGAGTGGTTTCATCCTCTCCCTCCTCTCGGAGACTTTCCCATGGTCAGGAGCAGCCCCAGGCAGAGAAGGTCCATGAAAGGACCACAGGTGCAGGCAGTGCTGCCCAATGCTCGCCCCTGGCTTCAGAGATACCACCTCACGTAGGAGGCAGGAAAGAGAAAATGGGGGACGACCCACCGTCTTCCCGTAGGAGTCGTGCACGGGCGAGACAATGCCACCGATGACGATGAAGCGTCCAGTCTTGTGCAGGTAATCCCGGGCTCGCTCTGAAGGAGGAGGACAAGGAAAAGGGTGCAGGGGGGACTCAGCTGGACCCACTGAGCCCCGCAACGTCCCGCTGCGCCCACCGGCTTTGCCCAACACCTGTGGAGCAGCTTAAACCTGCTCGGGCAGCGCTGGGTGGGGAAGAGACCAAGGGAAGGGTTGGCTTTGTCTTTTTTGCCCTTCTTATTCAGTGCCACCCTTGGTGATGCTGAGCATGGATCTTCCCAGGGACCCGCAAACCTTGCAGGAAGGAGGATAAGGTGGAAGAAGGCAGGTCTTTTGCAAAAGCTAAATCACGCTCAAACCCCGAGTCACCTTCCACCACCTCGCCAGGGAACCAGAGAGACCAGTGAGAGCCTGCACCACCACCGAGAGCCACCCAGCAGAGACAGGCTCTTTTGGCAGCCCTGGAGGAGCCAGACCAAGCTCATGAAGTGATGCGTGAAACTGGTTTATTCACTGTCTGCAGACAAATCCTTTTTTTTATATTTTCATCTGTCCATAACCCACATCCACCCTTTCTCTCTCCCCATGACTTCTCCCTTCCTTGCCTGCTATGGTTTGCTGCTGACTACCAGCCAAAAGCTTTCTTAGCAGCTGGAAGGTGACTGGACTGAAGGAAGCTGGAAGGCTCTCCTAACCTCAAGCATCACTTCTGACAAGGACCCCTTAGATGTGGGCAAGATTAAAAAACCCAGGATAATAACAAAACCTGCTGCCTCCACCACCACCGGGCTGCGGGGACAACCCTGTGGTTTTATGAGCAGAAAACTTTGCTGGCTCAGGCGTCGGCAGGCTGCCCGTAACTCCTGCAGGAGGATATCGATACAGACTGGGGGATGGATGGACTAAGAGCGGCCCTGCCGAGAAGGGGATACTGGTGGGTGACAGATGGGCATGAGCTGGCAGCGTGCGCTGGCAGCCCAGAAAGCCAACCGTGCCCTGGGTGCAGCACCAGCGGGTCGAGGGAGGGGATGCTGCCCCTCTGCTGCCGCTCTCCCGAGCCCCCCCCGAGCACTGCGTCCAGCTCCGGGGCCCCCCGTGTGAGACAGACGTGGGCCTGTTCGAGCAGGTCCAGGGGAGGCCACGCAAATGGTCCGAGGGCTGGAACAGCTCTGCTACGGAGAAAGGCTGAGGGAGTTGGGGTGGCTCAGCCCGGAGAAGAGAAGGCTCTGGAGAGGCCCTACTGTGGCCTGTCAGTGCATAAAGTTGGCTTATAAGAAAGACGGAGACTTTTTACCAGAGCCTGCAGTGACAAGATGAGGGGCAACAGCTTTAAACTGAAAGAGGGTAGATCTAGGGTCAATATAAGGAAGACATTCTTGTACAATGAGGGTGTTGGGACACTGGAACAGCTTGCCCAGAGAAATTGTGGGTGCACCACCACTGGAAGTATTGAAGGTCCAGTTGGACGGGGCTTTGAGCAACCTGATTAAAGATGTCCCTGCCCATGGCAGGGGGGTTGGACTAGCTGATCTTTGAAAGTCCTTCCCAACACAAACCATTCTGTGAGTCTCTGATTCTATGATGTGCTGCTGGTTGACAGCCAAAGTAAGAGCAGCCATCACGCACAGACTGAATGCGCGGGTGCTTAGCATGGGTGGATCCCCTGCCACCCCCACTACAAGACCCACACCTTACCTGCTGCTCTTTTGGAAATGCTGAAGGGTTCACCAGGAGGAGCACTGCAGCAGGACTGAGATGCTTGTTCCCATCTGTTCCTCTCTGCTGGAAAGCACTGGGATGCTGCTGGTGGGTTCACCACCTCTAGCTCTAACCCTGCTTGCTCCCTACTTGCTCCAGCCCTGCTTGCTCCAACTTTACTTGTACCCTGATTACTTAAGCCCTGCTCACTCCCTACTTGCTCCAGACCTGCTTGCTCCTTGCTTGCTCCCTGTTTGCTCCAACCCTGCTCGCTCCAACTTAATTTGTACTCTGCTTGCTCAAGCCCTGCTCACTCCCTGCTCGCTCCAACTCACAGACAGCAGCCGCTGGGAGCTGCTGCTGCGGGACGAAGCCTCGGCAGAGGAGTGGAAATATTGTTCTGAGAGCAGGTCACTGCAGCAGGATGGGGGTGGGGGGAGCCCCTCCTGCATGCCTTGGGGGATGATGGGGCTCAGGTGCCCTGTGTGTGGGCTCCTGGGGTCTACCTCTGTGGTCTCAGACAGACAGATGGAGCCGTCCTGTCGGGAGTGGCAGCTCCACTGCACGAGCAGTGGCAGGGTCGGTCACGGCATGGTCCCTGCCACGGCTGCCGGCTGATCCCCAAGGTCTCACTTGCTTTTGGGCGCTTGTGCCCCCGCCGTTTTCCCCTCCTGTCCTTGGGCTGGTCCTGATGCAGCCTCCCCTCCCTGCTTCCCTCCCTGCCTGCAGGCAGGGCCGCCCCACGCTTTGGGCAACGGCGCTTTTGTCCCCCCCTTCTAGAAACCTCTTTGCCGACGCCTCGCAGGGCTGCACCCAGGCTCGTCAGGGCTCTGCCGCAGCGATGCTGTTGACCACTGATGCACCTGGCTCCCTCACCTTCAGCCCTTTCTCCCTCAAATTCCCCCTGCTCCCCCCGACCCATGCTTTTAAATGCCAGCCGTGTTGTCCCTGGGGCTTTCCCCGGGTCCCCTTCCCTTGGCACCCACCACCCGCGCCCCAGCCGGCCCCTCAGCAGCCGCACGGCTCTTACACCGCTCCCTCCCTGTGCCAACACCACGTGTTGCCCGTGTCCCACCGCACCAAGAGGCTGTCCCTCCAGCCTGATGCACAGTCTCATGCTGGAATTTCCAAAAGGTGACATTTGAGGATAAAAACGCTGGCGAAGAGTTCCTAAACTCCCGTAGGCTCCTGCGTGGCCATGTCTGACCTCCCTCTCCCGGCCTCAGAGCACACATATTCTTGCCCTGTTGCTTCCCTGAAGATGCTCTCAGAGAAGCAAAGAGGGTTTCTCCCCGATGCTGGAGATGGGAAGCCCCATCTTTTCACGCCGCAGCAGCAATACCTCCTGCCCCCCAAGCTTTGGCAGCTGTATAACCCCCCCGTTTACTCGAGCTCTCCCACTGGGTGCATCGTCCCGCAGAGAGAGCACAGTGCAGCAGTGCCCGCCCCGGCTCGTGAGACAGTAGCAAGAAAAAAAAAAGACAGAAAAGGTAAAAGCAAAAAGGGAGATGAGATTGATGAGTCATTAGAAAACGCTGCTTTTTTTTTTTTTTTTTTTTTTTTTTGCGAGTAGAGGATCTAGCAAATATTTTGCCTTTGCAAAGAAAATGAGCATTTCTGAAGCTAAGGTGACTTTGGGACCTGTCAGCCATCCCGAGGTGTCATTGTGCATCATATCCTACAGACACGCTGCTCCAGCCGCCGGCGTTTCCCCAGCCTGAAGGGCTGGTGCCCTCCCGTGCGGCAGCAGCGGGGAAACACTTGCAGGGAACCTTCCTCCCCCATAAATCTGCACCCAGCCCCAGCTGGCACCCACTAAAGCGGATGCAAACCTCTCCAGCCTGCGGAGGATGGCTCCAGCTTCCCTCGGTGCTGTAGCTGCATTATTCCTTGGAAATGAGCAGCAAAGCTTAACACCAGCTGGGTTTGAGCCCCGGGCCACAGCTCGGCAGGATGGGCAGGCAAGAGCACAGCCTGGTGGGTCCAGCTGGAGGGAAAAGGCGCTTTTCCACGGGTACATCAATGGGTACCCTTTTCCTGCACATTTCCCGGTAAAATGATCCTCTCTGGGTGGTGTGGATAGGGGCCTGCTGTTTAGGAAGGGACCGTTCTCCCAGTGGTGCATCTCTTCAGCTCCCATGCCCTCACTCCTGCTCTGCTTCAGGGCAAAAATTCAGCTCTAAAATGATTTTGGAGCTCCCTTGCAACAGCTTGGAATGGATGAGGAGCACTTGTATGTCAAGAGAGGCGAGAGGAGCTGAGCAGGGCAGGGAGATAGGAGTGTTGCTGAAGAACTGCTTGAGAAAAATTATTACTTTCCTCCAGATTCTGAAATTTCTACTAGGGAATATTGTTCAGCTATTGGGTCAGTTAAAAGCCAATTAGGGAACCATAATTGCCACGGACTTTTTCCGCCCCCACCAAGGGTGTTGAGCAGCCCCAGGCCTCTGTGACAGCCTGTGGGAGATCTGCCAGCCTCAGTAAAACCTTTTCCTCAGACTCACCCAAAATCCTTTCCCTGGCTTCCTTCCCAGCTCTTGTGCCCTGGGCACACCAGTCCCCAGAGAAAGAAAAATGGGCATAAATCATTTGATCAGTGCAGGGAGTAAAATTCAATTGCCTGAATTAGCGGTACTGGAAGCTTCCCTCCCTGCCTTCAAAATCCTGAGCTCAAAGGGGTTAACACTGGCAGTTTGGTTTGAACCATATTCTTTCATCTTTGCTATTTTTTCATCCACTGGGAACTGTGTGGGAGCATCTCCATCCGCCAGTGGGTTTCACTGGGGCGGTGAGGGGACCAAGCCCAGCCCTGTGTGTGACCATGGCTATCTGTGCCCCAAGTGGTACCCGGCAAAGCATCCTAGGGGGGAGCACACACAGAAAAATACAATATTCTTGGGTTGGGTTTTTTTTTTTTTTTTTTTTGTTTTTTTGTTTTTTTCCCACGGGCAGGGTGGTTTGAGGTTGAACTAGCATCATAAGTTAAAGCACAGAACTCCATAGGTGGTGGGATTCCCTCTGCAGCCTGTCACAACAGCCCTCCGTAACCACTTGTTCAGAAAGCCAAATGTGCAAAAAAATCCTCTTTCTTCTCCATTCTGTGTTTTAAAAAGCAAAATCAGGGAGTACCAGCAGTGCTTCTCCCTCTCCAATGCTCTGAGCTTGCCTTTATTGATGCTACTGGCTTTCACATTGGTGCCTTCAAGGTTAATCAATCATGAGGGAGGGGAAAAATAAGCCATTTTTTTCCTGATTCTGCTCTTTCTGGCATCTTTCACATAAACCATGTCCTGGGACCTCTTCTAGATTGAGAAAAAAAAAAAAAAAATACTGCATAGGGTGTAAGTTACAGCAAACA